TATACTTCTGGAAATATACGGGGATTATCCAAAGCTTATCGCTTCTTTGAGAAGCCATAAATTTACAGGTCCACTTTAAATTTCAAACGTATAATTACTTGAAAAGAATTTACCTAAGGCATATATATGCTCGCCAATTGATCTTCTCAGTATTTGTAATTCTATGCTTGAAGTATTCAGCGGGAGTTTCAACTCGGGTGGTGGCGCCCAATTAAGCACGATGTCTAAGCAGAAGGAGGACGTTCTCCTCATGGTTAAGCATGTGAAGTATAAAAAGGTTGACGGCACTCTGTATGTGAATTCTGGTCGTGTTGCATGGCGCAATCAGACATCGGACTCGTTTAGAATTAGTGCGCCATTCGAGGACATTCGAATGCAGCGTGTCAGCCCAGATCAAAAAGAGAAAGTTCAGCTCCAGCTGTTAATGCACAACAATGAATCCTTCACTTTTCAATTTTCGGATCCTGTTGGTCGAGAGAAGCAGCAGGAAATGCGAAATCGCGTCAAGGAAATGCTCCAGAATTTATTACCGAAATTTAAAGACAAAGTACGTTTGCCCGCTGTTCGTCATTATGCGCTGACAATAAGTTAGATGTAAAAAAGATACTAATAGTAAACAGAATACTGCTGCTTAAAATCAGTTCAGATTATTATTTTTTTATTACACCTTAATTGCTGCTGGCAGCAATATTCTCGAATCTTGGTAGCTCGCAGCCCTTCTAGAGTAAATTTTCCTTCTGATGCCAGTAATACGTTAAGATATTTGCAGGAATGCTTTCAGTCGCGAACCTTTTGTCCGACTTCATTCTCTGGCAGTCATCGAAAAGCCATTTTCGCTAGCACGAGACTTTAAGGAACATCTCACCCTATGCGAATGCTGTTAAAATCGCCACGAACACTCAGTACTGCTACCAAAGACACTTGGCAGCGCAATCTGCCTCTTTATGCACCCGCTCCCATCACAACTTTATTCAGCATGTCTGGTAATGTGACTGCGCGGCCAAGGCCTGTACGTATTGTTTCATGTTTTATGCCATTCACACAGCATTTTACTGGCACAAAATGGCACATTCGCTAACACAGTGTTAGGATGTTGCTGTAATTATAATTTGTATCTTCTTGATCAAATCAGCCATATTTTGCAGTCTTTCCATGTTGTCCTATAAATTTTTAAAATATTGTCTTTATGTTTCTCTTTCTCTAGGCGCATTCTGAATTAAACGAAAAGTTTCGCTTATTGGAAGCAAATCCTCAGCTCTTGGCCCTATATAAGGAGTTGGTAGTAACCGGTATCCTCAGTTCCGAAGAGTTTTGGGCTCGTCCTGAGTTTCCACAGAAATCCGAATCCACACCAACGGCATCGAACGCCAAAGCTGGCGAAAAACAGGGCCTATCAG